TTATTGTTCGCTATGGATGTGTTTAAATACAAACAAAGAAACACGTAGAAACAAACAAATTAAGAATATACTAATCTCGACTAATATCTAGCATTTAAAGTCTAATTTCATTATTTTACATAAGCAACAATCCTATCTATAATACTTACAGATGTCGATGTCCATGCCTAACATTAATTTTATTGCTATTTAAATTAGGTACCTACTACCTACCCTTAATATAACTCCAGATATAACTATTATCTAAGCTTTGAGAGTTCCTCAGCCTTTTCTCACCGTGTTATTTATTGGATTTTACCAAAGCTTACCTCTAGATCGAATAAAAATATAAATGACGGTCTAAAAATAACGATTTTTCGTACTTAAATTGAAACTTAATTGAATTTTTTTTTTATAGGAGAGGGGGCAAACGAGCATGCGGCTCACCTGATGGTAAGGGACTACAGCCGCCCATGAACAACTGCAACACCAGGGGAATCGCAGATGCGTTGCCAGCCTTTTAAAAAGGAGTACGCTCTTTTCTTGAAGGTCCCTAAGTCGTATCGGTCCGGAAAAATCGCTGATGGTAATCGATTCCACAAGAAAGTTGTGCGAGGAAGAAAACATCTTCTAAATCGCACAGTGGTGGACCGCCAATCATCCAGATGGTGTGGATGTTATCGGAAGTTCCGCCGCGATGTGCGTTCGTGAATTTTGGCGGCTGGGATTAATCCGAACAATTCCTCAGAGCACTCCCCATGGTAGATGCGAAGGAAAATGCAAAGGGATGCAACATCTCTTCGCAGTGCCAATGAATCGAGCCGATCGGAAAAAGCTCGGTCGTCGACGATTCGAGCCGCTCTGCGTTGGATGCGGTCAAGTGGAAGGAGCTGGCACTGGGGAGCCCCTGCCCAGAGATGGGAACAGTATTCCATGTGAGGCCGAACTTGCGCCTTGTAAAGTTGCAGGCGATGTGCCGGCATGAAATACTGTCCCGCTCTGCTGAGCACGCCAAGCTTTTTAGAGGCCAATTTGGCCCTCCCTTCCAAGTGACCACGAAACTGCACTTCACTCGATATGTCGACTCCGAGGATACCGATACTGGCTGAGGCAACAAGGGGAGTGCCTTGAAACTGAGGAAATACGACAAAGGGGTTCTTCTTAGCGGTTAACGCGCAAACTTGTGTCTTCTGAGTATTAAACTGGACTAGACTTAGTCGGCCCCAATCCGAGATTTTGTTCAGCAAAGACTCAACTTCAGACACAAGTTTGTTTGTTGAATCAATATTAATGATAGGATTTACTGATGACAGGAAGAAAACTGGTTCCAAATATTGTTTGGGTTTTTCTATTAGGTTCCACTTTATCGGTACGGTTTCCATTCTGACCCCAGTTAAGATATCGGTTTCATTGGATGCCAGTTTAGAAATACCAGTTTTTTGAAAAGGGCAAGTTGTGGTTTAGCTTTATTTTTATGTTCTTAACTCGACTGTAAATAGAAAGATGTTCGATGTGTCGCGCCACAAACTAAATCCCGCACCTAACACATGAATGGTCTTACAATATGTTGAGCATGGTTTAAGCTTGGTTTGTGCGTCACTAAAACGTACACAGTGCTCAGTCTTTATTTTTTTTTTGTTATTGCTCTGAGAATTATAAACAAAATTTCCATACGCCTAACAGGTTCAGCTGCATAGATTAATTAACCCTGGTCTCAGTAACTTAACATCTATAGAATAACATTTTAAGTTTATTGTTTAAAATTTCAATATCAACAGTAACAGAAAAATAGCTTTAAAATAAAACTTTGAAACTCAAATAAGGTATTTTTTGTATTTAACAGCTAGTATGTTTATGGATAACTTACCCACCGTTACAAGCTTACAAGTTCTAATATTTAAGTACTTAAAAACTACTAAAGTAATGCTAAACCTATATATACTCGTACGTCCTACTGCTGGGCCCAGGTCTCCAATTTCCGAGAAGATTTTACTACAATGGCCCACTGCTTGTTGGCAGACTTCACATGTCTTTGAAATTTTTTTTTTATTTCTCAGACAGGAAGGTTTCCTCACGATGTTTTACTTCACTGCCGAGCACGTGGTAAGTAGCACTTAAAATTGCTATTAACAATTTCTTTGATGCCGGCGGTGTTGGAACCCGGTTTGCTAGCGTGCTGTGAAACGTGGTTGCTTAGAGACTAAACGTACGCTGTAATTTGACTTACATATTATAGTATAAAGCTCTCTGTAAGAAATTAAATATCTAATTCTTGCCTAGAAATAACATATTATACTTCGCTAGTAGTAATTTACACATTAACAAACAACACACCGCATAATCTATTCATCTACAAATAAATAAAATTGAAGTGTCTGTTTGTCAAAATAACAACTTTGTATCAAATACATATGAAAGTACAAACGTTATAACAAAAAAAATTTTTTTAACTTTTTGTTTGTCTGTCTGTCGGTTTGTTCTAGCTAATCTCTGAAACGGCTGGACCGATCTTGACGGAATTTCCACTAACAGATAGTAGATTTTATAAGGAGTAAATTAGGCTACTTTTATTTTAGAAAAAGAATTAGGGTTCCGCGCAAAAAAATTAAAACCCATGAAATCCAATCGTAATAAATTTCACGCGGGCGAAGTTTCGGGGAACAGCTAGTATATAATCAAAAAACTAAAAATAATAGAATAATCTATAGTAAATACACTTGCAAGTACAGGGCAAAGGATTTCACCTTATATTAATGGGGTAGAGAGGAAGTCGAGCTAGTAACACCAAATAGCTGGGCTTGCACCCCTGTGCTGCGTCTGAAGGGTATGGAGATACCTATAGAGAGCCAGTGTGATTACAGGCTGAGGCATTTCATCTTAGTTCTTGGGGGTGACAACATGTCTGCAGTCTTCTTTGTTAAAAGTTGGCTGCTGCACGGCTAGCATGGGCTGGAGACAAAAAAATTATCCCCCGATTATATCCACTGACAGGAGATAAAATTATCTTGTCCTTATGCCAAAGCACGGCGACGGGGAGAAGTATATCCCCGTTTAACATAACGAGTAGACCTATATGATATAACCCCCGTACGTAGCATAGGGCCAAATGAAAGATAAAAAAAATTATCTTTCATTTGCCTTTTCATTTGAAAGGGATAACTTTATCGTAGCTCATTGGACGTGGGTTTAGGTTTATATTCATACAAAAAATCTATGTAAGTCTAAATCTACCTCCCATTTTATCTACAGTGGATATTATATCCGCTAGTGTGCCCATGCTCGAAGAGTGGATAAAACTGAGCGAGGGGATAAACAGTTTCTCCTTTCCCCGGGGATAAAATTGTCTCGTGCCCATGCTAGCCCTGCAGCCTATAGACTGCTGTAGCCACTTACCATCAGGTGGACCATAATTTTTTTGTCATTTTACGAGTATAAAACAATGTAGTGTAGACGGACATGCTATAACTTTGCATGTCCTATCTAAGATAATTTCTTATACATTTGTGCACCTGTGATATCTTATTTTGCACACATAATTTCCTCACGACAATCATATGCTTAGTAATCAATTAAGGCAAGTAAAAATAATTAAGTAGTGTGCTTGGGATTGAACCAAAGACTTCCATGTTTGTTTCAGACGATCTAACACCGATTTTGTTTAATGTGACCATAAAGCAACACGGGCCGTCGATGAATGTGACAAAGAAAACACTGTAATTTTTTATGTGCGCACTGTCAATGTGTTTTGAAGTTTACTCTTATTTCGGATAAGTATGAAACTTTTTTCGTTCTTGTCTGAAAACAATAACTGTAGTAGTACAGGTGCATGGCATATTTACCGTACCAGCTACCCGCTGCGCGATCCACAGCTGTGACCGTGACACAGTTTTTGTTCTGAATTGCCGGTCTAGTTCGTAGAATACTTAGAAGTCTATGGTCTAAACTTTGAGTTACCTAGCTTACATTTATTAGTTTTATAATTTGTCCCTATATTAATGAAACAAGATACTAAGGTACGTGAGGGTGATATGGTCACCTTAATCTTTGCTGCCTTATAAAACCAAAAGTAGGAGGAGGACACAGACAAATACACAATGTCGTATACTATAACCAATATAGAAAGAAATAACAAACAAGCCTTGATAATAATTAGCAACACTTCGAAAAATCAACTTTAAAAAAACTAACTAAGTATAGTACGTGAGGGTAATATGGTCATCCAGTTAATATGGTCACTTTCTTACAACTCAAAAACTAAAGCGTCGTTTGCATAGAACGCTGTGATACGATAGCTCTTGATCAGTCTATCAAATAATAAAGGGTCAAAAAGGCGCTCCTTTATCGACGCCATTTTGACAGTTGATACTATTGTAAATATTTTAGTCGATTTTTGTATTGTGTAGTGTAGTTAGTTTTTTTTAAAGTATATTTTCGAAGTGTTTTCAATTATTTCCAAAGCTTGTTTACTATTTTTTTCTTAATATATTAGTTATAGTATACGACTTTGTGTTTTTGTCTCTGTTCTCCTCCTAATTTTGGTTTTATAGGGCGATAAATCTTAAGCTGACCATATTACCCTCACGTACTTATTATAATATCAACTGTCAAAATGGCGTCGATAAAGCGGCGTTCTTTTGACCCTTTATTATTTGAATGACTGATGAAGAGCTATCGTATCATAAAGCTGTCTATGCAAATTAGGGCTGTAGTTTTTGAGTTATAAGAAAGTGACCATATTAACCGGATGACCATATTACCCTCACGTACTCTACAGGTAAAGGGGCCCAACATATTTATGTTTATCTGGAGAATTCCCAAGCAAAAGCCTTAGATTAAAGTATTAATTTGTTAACTTTAACACTAATAGGATAAGCAGCAGATAACAGAAAATAAAGTTATATCATCCATCTCATAACGCAAAGTCTAACACCATCCGACAGACACGTTTCTAGTAGTTGTTCAGCACATAATGTATAGCTCCCACAAAGCGCCACGAAGCTTCAGCTGGATGTTCTCCGGCACTAGTTCCAGGGGGGTCGCAGGTTGGGCGCTGTTTCCGTGGTGTGTGGCGCCGGGTGTGTTGTGGGGGTGTGTGTGGCCGCGGCGGTGGGGAGCGGGCAGCGCCAGCAGGGCGGCGCGTCGGCCTGCGCGCTGCACGCCGCCGCCAGCCCCGCCCAGCAGAACCGGTACGCGTACCGCTTGCCGTGCACCTGGCACCACCACATTTTTTTATGGAATACGGATGACAAAAGAGCACACAGTCTACCTAAGTGTAAGTGGATGCTGTGGCCCGTAGACATCTACATTTGTCGACGATTAAGAATCAAAATGCAGATGTGTAGTCTCACCCCTGAAGACTAAGATAAAACGCCTCGTTTCAAGTAAAACGGTCTGCGGTTCTCTACACTCACCATACAAAACACAGCAGCATGGAGCTACTAACTTGTGTTCTGTGAGAGCGTGGTACCTTCCGCGGTCGAACCGATCCTAACAGCTACAACCAAATATAGCTGCAGCGTGGCTCTATAAGATTCTTTTTTTATTTCCAAGCTTAATATAACCTTGTACTCTTATTGATTCTGTGCTATAAGCATAATCATATTTTTTTATATGTGATAGAGCCATGCTCCAGCTATATTATAGTTGCAGCACGAGTTGATGTTAATACGAGTATCTATGGGCCACGGCGTCTATTTACCATCCAATGGACTGTGTACTCGTTTGTCACTCTTATTAACTTCCTTCTGCGTAGCATTGAAAGGAAGTTAATGGTTTTAGCAGGCAGTCTGTTAGTGTGTATGCCGACACGATAACTTCCGTTCCACTGGACCGATTGACTTTAAATTTGGTATGTGGATACCTTGAGGTAGTAGCTCGGTCGAGTTTGAATTTGGGTCCTGTAGGTCAAAGGGCACCAGAGATATGAGATTCACGCAGAAGGAAGTTGTTTTTCTTGAATTTACATTCAACTCGTTTTATATAAAAAGCTTTAATGGTTAAAACGATAAGTAAAAAAACCCCGACTGCGTTAAAAAAGTTACTGAAGAAAACTTTCTCCTCCCTTTTTGCATTTACAGATGCAATATATAAATATTATATATATAAATTATGTCACTCCCGCAATTAAGAACAATCTAACAACACCTCGTATGTTAAAATGCATCAAGCCGTTTAGGCTAAAGAGCGTGCCTAAGAAATAGACAAACAAACATACATACATAGTCTTGAAAACTTTACTCTCCTTCTGGGGCAGTCGGGTAAAAAATAATTAAAGTATTGTATATAAATGTTGATAATATCAACAGTCAACTTGATGAGCACGTTATTCACGAGGTCACCAGTTCATTCGTACCTTGGTCATGATGTTTTTGTCGTAATAGTATCGCAGGGCGCGCGACAGCTTGTCGTAGTTCATGTTGGGCTTCTGCTTGCGCCGGCCCCAGCGCCGCGCCACCTCGTCGGGGTCCGACAGTCGGAACTCACCCTCGCCTGGAGCTCCCTGCCATATCACAAACTTTAATTGCCTAATGCTGCTGTGTATTGTATTTGGGACCACATGAGAAGTACCAGCTTTCAAATAAACAAGAACTATATATTATTTACAATGAATGAAGAGGGAGGACCACTTTTTTAAGTTAGTTATAATTATAATAATGTTTATAGGTAGTAATTGAGCAAACAAGCAGTTCCAAAAGTAATAGAATACAATACAATAGTTTTTATTCAATATAGATTATAATACATAACACTTATTGACAGTCATTTTTTACTTTTACCACTGTGGTTCGCAAAAAAACTTCCCAATCAGCAAGAAACCCAGCGGGACTTTTTTTTTAAAAAAAGCACAGTTAACAATATAATATTTTATACAATTCGTCGTTGACGCCGAAAAGGGGCGAACATCAATTTTTCAAAAAATTACAGGAGAACAAGAAGACATTTATTATTCCCCCATTACTAACTTTTTTATCAAAAAAATAAATATATTAGACTTAATGGAAAACTACAAATAAGATTAATTTTCTGATGAAAAAAAGCTAGTAATCTGGGAATAATAAATGTTTTCTTGCTCTCCTGTAATTTTTTGAAAAATGGAGGTCCGCCCCTTTGCGGCGTTAGCAACGAATTGTTATGAAAATATTTAGAAACAGCATGGTAGCGATCGCCTCACTCCCAGGGGTTATTATCAGTCATGTACTCTTTAGTAGTATAATAACCCTTGATAGACAATTTTTGCTTAATAAATAATTTAAACCTTTTGATAGAAAAGGTCTACATATTCTCTGGGCCTTCGTAAAAGCGTATACATTGCCCCATGAAGGAATTACTGACTCTTTGGATTCGACTAACTGGTATAACTAACCTGTGCTTGTTCCTAGTATTTACAGAATGTACATCACTATTTTTAATAAAACTATTTTTTGTTTTTGTGTACATACAATAAGTTCTCGTAAATATACTGAGAGGCCAAAATTAATATATTGATTTCTTTAAAATTTTCTCGCTGGGATTCCTTCGGACCTAGGTTATAAATTGCTCTTGCAAAACAAAGATAGTTTCAATGTCAGTGGCATTATCCCATAGCAAGATTCCATATGACATTATGCTATGGAAATAACTAAAATAAACTAATCTAGCTGTTTCAACACATGTAAGGTAAGGCATCTAATCTTTTTACAGCATATGCTGCAGAACTAACTTTGCTAGCTAGTTTAGATATGCGAGGGCCCCATTGAAGCTTCGCACCAACTGTAATACCGAGAAAAACAGTGAATTCTACAAGAACCAGCTCCTCCCCACTTAAAAGCACACTGGTACTCGTATTCACCTTTTTTACATCACCGTAAGCAGTTAACAACAACCAATTTCAAGTGAATGACATAAGTTCTTATAACCCCCGACGAAAAATCCCCTCTTTTTCTATGTTTGCTTTCTGTAATAAGTTTGATCGCTATGTGTGTCTGTCCGTCTGTCCGTGGCACTGTAGCTCTTAAATAGGTGAATCAATTTTGGTGCGGTTTTTTTTTTTAATTTCAAAGCAGGTTTTCTAGCGGTAGTTCTCAGACATGTTTCATCAAAATCAATTCAGCCGTTTGAAGATCATCAGCTTTTTTTTTGTTCGGTTTTTTTTTTAATTTTCAGTTTAAGTTATTGTCACTTAAGAGGCCAAAAATGCCTTTAAAATTCCGAGTGTAAGGGTAACGTTTTCTTTAAAAAAAATAAGGAGACAACCTCTATAAAATATAAATTAAATTTAAAATGCATAAGCCGGGTTCTAAAAATGCTACAAGCATGACTCACCTCCCAGCAGATTCCCGGCGCGCCGGCCGCCAGCTCTTCCAGCAAAAACTGCCACAGTTGCACCTGGCCGCCACTGCCACCGGCACGCGTGCAGTTACTCAGGGATGCGTAAGGTTCTTAAGAAAAAATAAGACATGTTATATTTAGTCACGTTAGTAGTTAGATATCGCAGAATCCATTTTTTTCCGATGATCGCCCATTTAAAAATACGACACGTGTTCGTATTGTCGACAGCGGTTCGCTTTGCTAATATAGTTATTGGGTTTAGTGGGGATAGTGACAGTGGACACAATTCTGGAATACTGGAATCGGATTCCAGCGTTCCGAAATTCGGGATACGCTCTTTAACATAATAACAATAATGTCCTCAACACCGAATTTCGCTTAAGGCGGCTAGTCTCGACGGAGACTGCGCTGGACAGGATTATAGTGCCCAAGTGTGTGCGTGAACACAGGTGCACTCTCTATTCCGTCACTCTCATAGTCCGATGGGACGGTAAACCGACACGACCGGAGAGAGATCAGGCGCAGGACCAACGGCTTCACGTGCTTTCCGAGGCACGTGGGTGAAACACTACCAAGTTCCTGATTCCGGTGTCCTTGTGAGAATTACTGGACAGCAAAATTCAATAACTGATATTGGCCTGCCTCGGGATTCGAACCCAAGACCTCATGACTACTACACCAACGAGGCGATTTAACATAGTAATAGTTGAACACAGCAGTAGTGTCAACCTGCATGTCAGAATGTCGAAAACAAGTGAACCAGTGCGCAAGGCTCCCGTTCGATACGCAATCACAGAAGTGAGACAAAGCCGGTAGCAGTAGTAGGACTTATGTAGGCTGCGTTCACTTAAGTGAGAAGCTAAATCGTTTTATTTAAATCTCTAAAAACACAATAAAATTGTTCAAAATGACGCCTCGAAAAAATAATTGCTCCACAAGTAATATACAGTTCTGATGGCAGCGTATGATCAATTTCGATACTGTTAAAAATAGGAGGAACTATTCTATAAAATCGTAGCCTCGATTTAAAATTAAAATACAAATAGGTACATACTATTTAGCCTCGAATCCCACCATATAATTTATTGTAAAGGTAACGAACTAAATTATAAATAAAGCAAGGTAAATAATATATAGTAGACATGTATTGCATTAGGCTATGTACATAAAAGTAACATTTATTAGTCTCGTTTTGTCATAACTTATCTGAAAACCTTAAAAAAACCTCACCCTCATATCCGGTAGTGGACCTATTTCAGACGATGAAGAAGTTCTTTATGTTACTATTAATATAATGAGCTATTAGGCATTTCATCTCACTCCTTATAAATTACAACGAAATGTGCAGACTGCCTTTTTTAGATGAAGGTAACCATGGGCTGCAGTATCCGCAAATACTACACATGGAATAAAAATAATTTTTCGGATTTCATCGCGTTTAATTGAGACTTACTCGTAATTCCCGACAATCTGCTTAGATTGCTCAAAAAATAAGAATTAAAAGTTGAAAGTAGCCTTCGTTAATTATGCCATCAGGATGTCAAACACCTCAGTGATACTAAAGTGCCCAAAACGTCAGGAATTTAAAAAGTTAAAATTAAACGCGATAAAATCCCTTAAATTAGTTGTATTGCATTGTTGTCAGGTAGGTTCCGAGCTCGTTACCACTTTCTTCTGATAAGACAATCACCTGGATACAAATGGTGAATGCGATGGTCGCCGGCTCTCAACCACAGCATCGCACCTCACCGCACTTCTCGCTAAACTCGCCACCAATTCCACATCTACCCTCATTATTTGATCGCACACTTATTTTCACTTATACGTTTTCGAGAAAGATATTACACTGTTTGCATCTAATAAATTCTAAATAACTTTATCATAAATAATCAATTGCTATGTTCCACTATTTTATTAGGTTATTTTACAATGAAATATATTTTGTGGATAAATGACAAACGGAAGACAGAATGCGGGCGGATGTGCGACCGGAAACGGACAAGTGACTGTGAAAGCATCGTTTAAGATGGGAGGGCGCCGCCTCTCGGTCCGCCCTCAATGTTACATGTAAGAGGGTAAGAAGTCGCACAGCATCTTTGTCATGTGTCTTTGTAATCTACTCAATTGAAAAATATATTCATTCTGTAGGTACATTCCCTTATATTATGCCTTGTATGCTTGTGGCAGGTATTTTTTTAAGATTGATAATACAGTGTAACCTTGATATAACAAGCCTCGATATAACGAATTCCTCGATTTAACGAATTTTTCAATAATAAGAGCTAATACAGCATATAACTCTACATTACGAATACATTTATCATAAACCTCTTTATAACGCATTTCAGATATATGCAGAATAAAGATAAAAGGTATTATTTACCTCTATTTATTATATATGTTATATATATGTTTTCAACCTGAAATCTTGACACAACGTATCCTATTAATTATTCCCACTTATTTCCACAATAAACCATGTCTTGATAGGTTCAGATACGTACACGAAACGCAGATGACTATTTACGTAATGTTGAGGTTAATAAACAACTTTTCTTACCTTGTTAAAACGAATCGAAATTCCAACTAACCTCTATATAACAAACCTCATTATAACGAACTGCAAGGTATATAACGAATACTTTTAAATTCCCTTCAGTATCAAAGTGTATGCAAGGAATATGATTACAGAAACCATTTATTTATTGTATTTTTATTAGAAAACCGAACTGACAAACAAAATTACAGTTTACCTGATGGTGAACGGGAAGCTAATATAGTAATTATACAGTCTTTTAAACTTCAGAAGTTTTAAATTGGAACCAAGCACGCACTGTTGCCTGGCGGCAGAGAGTGTGGAACTGTTGAAGATACCCAGATGGACTAGAAGGCTGGAAAAGAGTTACCGTTACCGTTACAGCCTATTAAAGTCCACTGCTGGACATAGGCTTCCCCCATATATCGCCTCATAGGAGGGATATCTGCTATAGTTGCCACGCTTGGCAAGCGGGTCGGCAACCGCAGTTTTTTATTTTAAGTCGTTATTAGGAAGGCGCTGCTGCTAATTTCCTGATTTGTTTCTCTCTGTCTCTTCGTACGACACCCACGGGATGATATGTGGTAGAAGATTTCTTACACCTCCACTACTGTTACCACCCAAATAACGAGACACTCCTTCTTAGTCCTCAGCGGTGAAAATGTATCAGCATTTTGATTGAATGAAGACAACATTATGATAGAGCCAAGGGCAGTAGGTACCAGATGTCTTACCAATGTGCAACTCTGGGTTTATTACAGATAAAAGTTTGTGTCAATTATGTAACGTTTGACGAGATATGATATGATATGTTTAACGAGGAATATCTGTCACAGGTTAAAACCGATCAGTCAAAGCATTTTTAGATTTGGGCGATTTTTTGCTTAGCTTGGATTTGCGTTTGTACACAGAATAAATAATAGTACCTACAAGAAGTTTGTATTAGAAATTAATATGATTTGAGTATCATATAATGCCATGAGCTAGTTTCCTACCGACTTCAAAAAGGAGACGGTACTCAATTCGACTGTATGTTTTTTTTTGTGTGTTACCTCATAACTTTTTACTGGGTGAATGGATTTCGATGATTCTTTTTTTATTTGAAAGCTGTTACTTCACATGTGGTTCCATATAAACTTGATCAAGATCAGACCAATAGTATTTGAGTTTCTTAATAATTTATATTGAAGTCGGCTGTATAAAATTTTAAATTTTAAATTATGTTTTTCACCTTTAATTTTAACTTATTTTGTATTTCTTTAAGTTAAAATAATGTTTTTTTTTTTATTGAAGAAGCGTGACAAATGAGCACACAGTTAACCAGGTGATAAGTGGATTCTATGACCCATGTACATCTACATCTCTCTTCAATTCAGAATCAAAACGCAAATGCGTTGTCACCCCTTAGGACTATGAAAATGCCTCTTTGCCAGTTAAAAGGGTCCCCAGTTCTCTACACTCACCATACGTAACACAGCGGTATTGAGCTGCTATTTGACGCTGGTATTCTGTGAGAGCGTGGTGGTTCTGCGGTAGAGTCAACCTTTTCGTGCTACAACCATAATATAGCTGCAACATGGCTCTTTCCCTAAAATTAGGCATTCCATTCCTGAAAGGTGACGACGCATCTGCAGTCTTCTTTGTTTTAAGCTGCCTGGCTTATTAATAGTCTGGGGTTTTTATTAAAAGTACTCTCTACCAGGTAAGAGGCCTTCTAACTAAAAAAGTCCTTTAGCCGCGGCGCCACAGTCTCTGTTGTTTCTGTCTCTCTGTTCTCCACATTTGCTGTTAAATTTCATACCCACCTTTTTCGCATATTTTCGCGGGACTTATTTCATTATTTCAAATTATCTTTCGCTATTTAGTGCTGTGGTACGCTCAAGGACTCAGCGCTCGCTGAAAATTTCACAATACGCGTTATTTGCAATTTTAAATACTGATTTACAACGTGCTCGGCGGTGAAGGAACAGATCGTGAGGAAACAAGAAAAAAATATATTTCGAAGACATGTGAAGTCCACCAACACGCATTGGGGCAGTGTGGAGAACATTTCCCTGGCCTAAAACCCTCTCAGAAGTTAGAGAGGGCCTGTTCCCAGCAGTGGAACGTGCGTAACTTTTCGCTGTTATAATTTCAATTGCTATTGTTAACTGTAGACTTTATTGTTAACTTACTAGGGCATAAAATAGAGAGAGGGCAGAGGGCACTCATTAGGTACAGAGATACAGATATATACAATTCCTAGTTCTGGAATTAGAGACTTAACATACGGTTCCGTAGCGGAATGGCTTGGCAATGAGTTGCCAAGATTTGATTCGAATCTCGCACGGAACAAATATTTGTATGGCATACATATAATTATTGTTCCGGGTCTGAATGTTTGTCCGTGTGCAATTTATGTATGTAAACCGCCTTCATTGTAAAAGAAAACTAAACTTTTTTTTAAAACTAAAAAAATTGTGTAAGATTATCAATAAAAAAGAGCCGAAGGCAAACGAGGACCGAAGACAATGTAAAGATCATAAACAGCTATTTTAGGTCATTCAAACACGTTTTCCTTGCGGGATTCGAACCAGTGAACCGGAGCGCTTACGCGAGCAGCCAAAACGGTAACCACAGCGCTATCGTGCCGTCTAACATATTATTTACGTTGCAGATTCTTTCAAATTAACAATCCGAAGACCAAGTTATTGGTTTACGTAACCATATTAATGAATATCCTTAAATCCTCTTGATCCTGGATAAGATTCCCATGTTCTGTTTGCACATGCATTATTCATGGCGCCCAGCAGCGCAGCGCACTCGCGGTCCGACTTATTGTGTGCACCCTCCTGTATCACCGCAGTTTACGCCTTTATTATGGTATACGATGGGAGAGGATAGTCTTAATAGATTTAGCATTAAAAAAATCAATAAAATAAATAACTATAAAATTAAATAAATTTTTGCTTGACCATCTTTCCTATTAAAAAAAAAAACTAGCAAACAGTTTCATTCTGAACATGAATCACAATATAGATAACGCGTTCTTTTAGGGCTAAAATCAAAATCAACTAAAACAATATGATAACATAAAATCCTTCAAAATAAATCGAACATTAAAACTATTTCCTTCCCCATGGTTTCTGCAGCAAAGTCACCAGTGAATTTTTAAATATCCGTTGGCTCCAATGTCGCCTGATATTTTTAGCTACCTACTGTAGTTGCTGAGGCGCTGGACGGTTGGCTTGACCAGCAACTCAGTGAAGGCTACTAAGGTAATATTTTGATCAGCTATATAAAAAAATGCATATATTTATATAATACCTGCTACAGTTAGATACATAGCTGATTTACGGACCATGGTCTGCAGAAATTATATATGGAAAATCCAAATGTTTACGATTCGTGAGCGTTTTTATTTTTTTTTTCATCAAAATTAAATGACTGCTTGATGCAAAAAATAAATAACTTTTAAACGGTGCTGGGTTCAATAACAAAAATCAATAGCGATCCTCGTTAGAATGTATGAAATCTTATTTAATACTATATATCTCAATCTATGGCTTATCTACATTTCTTTTAAGCGAGAAGACTCACCGACGCATAAACCAACGGACGGCAGTCCATATATTTTTTCAATTACATTTTTTTTTATAAGATGGGAGACAAACGAACACACAGTCCACCTGATGGTAAGTGGTTGCTGTGGCCCATAGACATCTACATTTATCCTCGTTGGCGAATCAAAATGCAGATGCGTTGTCACTCGTGAGGACTTTTTTTTTATAGAAGAGAGGGCAAACGAGCATGCGGCTCACCGTCTACTACCGCCGCCTATGAACAACCGCAACACCAGGGGAATTGCAGATGCGTTGCCGGCCTTTTAGAAAGGTGTAAGCTCTTTTCTTGAAGGTTCCTAAGTCGTATCGGTCCGGAAAATTCGCTGGTGGTAATTGATTCCACAAGGAAGTTGTGCGAGGGAGAAAACTTCTTCTAAATCGCACAGTGGTGGACCGCCAATTATCCAGATGGTATGGATGGTAACGCGAGTTTTGTCGCGATGTGCGATGGTGAAATTGAGCGGCTGCAATTAGTCCGAACAATTCCTCAGAGCACTCCCCGTGATAGATGCGATAAAATACGCAAAGAGATGCAACATCTCTACACAGTGCCAGTGTATCGAGCCGATCAGAAAGAACTCGGTCGTCGACGATTCGAACC